ATGTATGTATATATGTATGTAGGTGTGCGGCAATATACGTATATGTGTTTACAAGCGCTTCGGCATATAGTGTGAATGGCACTATGTCATGATCATTATTGCTGTATGCTGCTGGCTTGGGTATCACTTGGCAACTTGCTTTAAGTGGCTTAACACACAGCATATGGTTCAGGACTTCAGCCGCGGTCGCCTTTATTGCCCAGCCCTTGCTATCTTACAGGAGTGTAGCACTTGCGAAGATGTGCAAGAATATCATGCGACACCTTCAGATGGTGGTTGACAGACGAAGGTTGGTTCTTGTCGACGATGCGGAAATGGCTGAAGCTCCCATGCATGTGTGGCAGGCAGTTGCCGTAGCTTGAATCCACACAGGTGTTCTTCAAGTCCGTGATGTCTGTGGCCGCCTCTCGCGCGAGGTGTCCTCTGCCGGCTTTTCACGACTTCAAGCTAGTGGTTGTGAGGCTGGCAGCCATGAGCTCGAAGCGACGCGGGAAAGTAGTCCACTTTCCTACAACTTCGAAAGTCGATTCCGGCCGGGAGGGATATTTCAGGCGTCAGCGGGTGGACCCAAATTGTTTTCGGCCTCGGCGATTTCAAGCGCCGATTTCAGGCACCCGGGGTGAGCACCATTTCACGGCCTCAGCGATTGCTCGCCGACAACGGCATGTGTGTGACCGGGTGGGTGTGGTCTGAGAAGGGAGATTAGGGGGTGGGGGGGGGTTGGTGTGGGGGGGGGGAACAACATTCAGACGGACTGCAGATGCGTTTGCTAGATTTCGACCTCACGAAGCTTGGGGATTACGGATTAGAGTGAGTCTGTCGACCTTACTGTGCCCCCACACTGGCATGGGGCATTTTCGTAGAGTATACTGCTGCAATGCCACTGAATCTGCGAAGGTCCTTCCATCAAACTTTTCTTCCAGACTCTGAACAGCAGAAGAACGAGCGGATGCTCTCGCGAAGCGAACACTGGCTGCATGTGGAAGCATGTCCGGGAATTTTAGTCCAGATGCCTTCCTCTGTGCGACAAGGCAACAGCTTTTGGCGGACAAAATGTTTCCGAAACTGCTTAGCAGAATGTGTGTTTCTCCACAGCCGGGTTAGGTTGTGGCTGCAAGAGACGACCCCTCGATTGCCAACCGCATCGATTTCGAGCATCAGGGTGCGGTAGTGCATTGCCGGCGCGCCGCGTTGTTGCAGGAGTTCGTGGAGTTGAGCCCCAACACCTTTCCAGCGAACGTCAGGGGTCGGCTATACTGTGCGATGGCCTCGGCTACATTGGGGTTACTCGGAGCCGAAGAACAAATTTGAGCAGTTGCGCAATCTGCTTCAGGCCTGCAAGGATTTACAACACGATCCTTATCCTTCCCACGCAAACAGCAACCATGCACACACTTTGCCTCGTCATCTGCATCGATTGATGGATTGAGCCCACTGAGGTGGCTTATCGGCTCTCCTTGCAATGCGCTCAGATCGGTGGATCTTGGTAGCATGGTACTAGTACGGCGTGACTTGACCAGGCCTGTGATCACTGGCAAAGTTTACCAAAAGTTTTACACACAGTCGGCACCTGTGAACCTTGTGCACAGTCTGCTCCTATCACAAGCTTCTGTGCAACTTGCGAAGATTCTTGAGGTTTGTGCATGCACGCTGCCCGGCCGTGCTCCCAGCATGTCATCTTTAGGGTACTGTGTGATTACTTGGGACAGTGAGCTACCATGCAGTGGACGATTCGAAAGCTCATGCTCACAGTCCAAAGCCGGCTCGTACGCCTCGAACCGGAGATCCAATGCACATGGCATCCACGTTGATCCACAAGACGACTATGTCATCGCACAAAAAGCGACATTTACAGCGCATAATCTTAGTGGCGAACCGGAGGCGGCCATGCTAATCCACATGATTACAGTTACAGTGTTGCTGAAGATTATTTAGACAAGTTCAGGACTGTGTTGGCAAACTTGAACGTCTCGAAGGTAATACTGACGGAAACAGCAATGATTATGATGACGACAATTCGTGATTCGTGACGACTGCTCAGAGCATTCCAGCAGGTGTGCACCACGACATCGCCTGGTCCTGAGCGCTTGTCCAGATTAAGACTCCTGGTCGCCGCCCTATCCTGTCGCTGCACGAGTTCGATCCCCACGCTGTGCCTGCTTTGTGGTACTTTCCTGTGCTGCAACTCGGAGCCGGGCACGCAGAACTCACGGATGCTTTGGGACACAGCTGTTCCACGTGCCGTTTTAGGTTGAGCTGATTGAATTGAGGTGCTGCAGGAGAGAAGGTGAAGGAGGGCAGCTGATGGGGGAAGTGACGCAGCATGCGCAGGTGGCGGCTGCGATCTCTGAATTCTCCCACTCTTCCCTCCGAGAGGTCTGTGGCTTTGGGACGTGTATTTTCTTGCAGCTCTCCAACTCGCCCTGCCCTTACCACGGTGCCCTTCTCGTCTTCTCTGTCTCAGCCTTCAGCTCTGAGTTGCACCGCTGAGGCTAGTGCACATCGTGTCCGACGGTCTCATTACGTGTGGCTTGCTCAGGCGACAGGTCGGAGCACGACATTGCATCTTCCAGTTGAAAAGGTTGGGGTTCCCTTTATCTGGATGGGCATGGAGAGGAAGAGCCCAGATCCCATTCCGACTGCTGCGATGCTGCTCTGATGGTTCGTGCCGTGACTGAGACGTGGCTAAGGTACAACTTGTCCCGGCCATTGTACATATCAGAGCTGCGACTGCAGCAGCTGACACAGCTGCCATCTTAGCGGAGCCGCAGCTAGTCATGTATCAGCCTGCCGGTGCACTACTTTTCGGAGCTGCAGGCTTGTGCGGGAGGCGGCCTTTGATTTCGAGTGTTCCCCTTGGCACAGCAAGCGAAGCGATCCGTTCGCTTCCTGGCGAACCGAGGTCCCGGTTGAAGTGGAAGAAGTTGATTTTCGTGCCTTTGGCAGGATTTGCTTCACGAGCCTCGGACGTAATTGGAACCATGTCTTGGCAAGGTGTGAGCAGCCCGACGGACGCTGCCCCCAAGTCTGGGGTCTGTCAATAAATGTTGGCAGGCCCAGACGTTTAATGCAGTAGCTCGCGGTCGTTGCGTTCTGGCTTGTGCTTGCGCAGAGCCTGATGACCACGATCGCCACTTCTTTAAGCATTATGTGCTGTTTCGGTGCAGCTCCATGGCGCTGGCAAACCCATCTTATCGTAGGGAAACTTGCAATGATAGGGCAAGGGAGCAGCACACGGTCAAGGGGGCAGTGGGTTGGGTTTTGCAGCGCTGCGAACTGCACAGCTCCAGCAAGTTTCATAGCTTGTCTGCAAGTTGCGGCGAAGCCATGGTGAAATGCGATAGAATTTCTTGACGCTGCCCGGTTCAGTCAGTAGGTCTTCACTTGCCGCCATTGCAGCCTTGGTCGCTGGAATTCTGAAACGGCTCAAGTCGTTTGAAGTTCAGGGCTGTTTGTGTTTGTCTTCCGATGGCATGTCTACCTACTCCTTGCAGTCGCCTCCTGGAGCGCCTCCTGGTCCTGGGCAAGGTTTGCAGAAGCGCCTCACTTCGGTAGTGCGTCCAGCTGCACATCCGGGTTCAGTTCCCTACTATGTCCGTGCACCAGCCCCAGCAGTTCAAGTTCAAGTTGCCGGTGCTCCCCGTCCGGGCGGCCCGGGCGTCGGCCCGGGCGTCCCGGGTGTCGCTCAATCGGCCGCTCCTTTGCCTCGGCCCGTGCGATGGAGCGTGGCCCCGGGCACTGTGACTTCCCCACTTGCAGGCCATCCAGGCATGCCCGTTGTCAGGCCAGTGCCGGTCGTGCCAAAGCAGCCGATCCCAGCTGCGCCTGCAGTTGTCCAAGCTCCCCGTCCCGTAAATGCCGCAAACCCCGTGCCAGTGCCACAGCCTGGCCACGTCCACCCTTTACAAGTCCTCGGCCAGTCTTTGGCCGTGGCCCAGGCCCCAGCGCAAGCAGAGCAGGAGCCTGAAACCTCTGAGGAGACGCGACCGGAGAGTGAGGCTTCCTCCACAACTTCGCCAAGAAGTGCACCAAGCCCAGCGGGAGCCACCGCGAGCCCCCCTACAGACTCGCCGAACGATTTAAAGACACCTGAACCGACTGGAACGCCAAAAGGCCAGCCTGTTCCTGCCGTGGAAGAACTGCAAAGCAAGAAGGTAGCTGCCGAGTCCAACTCGGATACAAAGCCGGCAGAAAAACCTAGAGACAGCCTTCTGGCCTGCAGTTAGCTACGGAACGGATGTTGTGAGCCAGAACCCACGGCGATCCTACAAAATGCCCCTGATGCGAGGCAGTTGCACAAAGTCAGCTCGTCATCGTGATCAACCTGCCTTGGCAGTTCTTGCTGCGGCATTCGCTGCAATCTGGCAAAAAGGGATGATGTTTGTCTTCAACAGGGTTCTTGGAGTCTCAGGCTTGTGCTACAGAAAGCAGTCATTTGGGGTGATCAGGGAACTGATAGACATTTCACGCCTTTGCTAAGTGCTTGCTGTAAGGGCCCTGCAGATGCCTCGAGGCTGGCACAGCAGATGATGTGCACCTACAACGTGGCTTTGCAGCCGATGTGCGCAAACTGGAGCTTCCGGAAGCAGGAGCAGATTGCAAGTCGCAGTTGAGTTGAATGTCACGTGCGGGCATGCGCGCAAACAGACGGACAGACAGCCAAAGGACTGGCGTGGGCACAGAGAGAGACAGCTGAGATAGACACGAGGCACACGCTGCGTCGGTGACCAGCTTTGACGCAGGATTGTATCCGGACATAGAGGACATGGGTTCGGCCGAGTGGCCTACCTGGGTCGACAGTACAGCGGAGGACCTCGGCTCCTCTGTAGTTGGAGTGCGGCGCGTACCC